AGCAGGGAGCCCGATGCGGGACTCGATCCCGGGACTCCAGGATCATGACCTGAGCCGAAGGCAGTCGCTTAACCAACTGAGCCACCCAGGCGCCCTAAAGTAGATAAATTTAAAAAGAAAACTTAGCAGAGCTAACCAGAGAACAGTGGAAAACCCCAAAATAGGGATAGTGCTATAATCATTAAAGGCATTGAGTCAGGACTTAAAAATCCTCCCCACCCCACAATCCACCCAGAGGGCTTTGCCGGCAAATTCTAACACCGCTCAAGAAAACAATTCCACCTTTATACAGACTCCTTCAGAGGGTAGGAAAATGGGGAGTGTCCCTCCTGGGTTTATGAGACTAGCATAACCTTAACACCAAAACCAGGCAGGACGTACAGTGTGAGAACAGACCTGCCAGGCCACCCCCACTTAGGAGTACAGACGCAAAAAGCAAAGAAACAATTGCAAATCCAAAATGAAAAATATACAAATGGTATCGTACATCATGAGAAACTTTGTTCGCAAGGAGCAGGTCCTTAGAAGACCTATTCATGTACCATATTACAGACCGAAAGAGAAAAATCATGCTGTCATCTTAATAGAGACAGAAACCCGTTCCAGCTGTTCATTGCAAGAGTCTTAGCAAACTTGGAGTGATGAGGAGCTTCCATGACCTGATAAAGGGCTTCTAGAAGGAAGAAAGCCTGAAAGTGGTAAATGCTAATGTTTTAATGTAAAATGTTGAAAACGGATCCTGAAGAGCGAGACAGAGACACTGACTATGCACAGTTGTTCTTTACGTTGGGACTGGTGGTCCCACCCAGCACAGTGAGACAGGAAAAAGAAAGAAAAAGTATAAGGACTGGGACAAATTAGGCCATCATCATTTGCAAGTGTTATGATCACGTACATAGACTATCCAAAAACTTCTCGAGTAACTCTCTTATAATTAAGACGTATTAGAATTCTAAGAATAAATAGCGTGAATTTTAATTATTAGACTTGAGAGTTTAATAAGATTGTGGGCTGCAAGAATCAGTGTATAAAATTAAATGTTTTCTGCATACAATAAACGAATAACAATGAAATTTTAGAAATATACCAGTCCCGGGATGCTGGGTGGCTTATTTGGTTAAGCGTCTGCCTTCAGCTCAGGTCATGATCCCAGGGTCCTGGGATCGAGCCCTGCATCCAGCTCCCTGCTCAGGGGGGAGTCTGCTTCTCCCTCTGCTGCTCCCCCTGCTTGTGCTTTCTCTCTCTGTCAAAGAAATAAAATCTTAAAACACACACACACACACACACACACACACATACACATCAGTCCCTAGAAATAGATTTTACAGTTGTATGAATGAATCCCTTAGGGAAATAAAGGATAAAATAAAGATTTTCACTGAAATCTTTCACTTAAATCTTCACTTAAATTTCCTCTGATTTCTTTTTCTTTCACTTAAATTTTCACTGAAATCTTTCACTTGAAATCACTCACTTAAAGAAGGACTTGAGTGGAGAGATGTCCTGTGATTTTGGTTTTTTGGAAGACTCGCTGTTACAGTGATAACTTACTTCAAATTGATCTGAGATTTGGTGCAATTCTGATCAAAATACCAGCCAAGTTTTTTTTTTATTATTATTATTATTTTTAAAGATTTTACTTATTTACCTGACAGCACAAGCAGGGGGAGCGGCAGGCAGAGGGAGAGGGAGAAGCAGGATCCCCACCGCGCATGGACCCTGATGTGGAGCTCCATCCCAGGACCCTGAGATCATGACCTGAGCTAAAAGCAGACACTTAACCGACCAATTTTTAAAAAAAAAAAAAAATTTTTTTTTTTTAACTTGGCAAGATGATTTTAAAATGATTATGGAAGAGCAAGGGCTTGGAAATAGCCACGATACTCCCAAGGAACAAGACCAAGGTATCAGGTACCAGATAGCAGTTCTTCTTGGTTCTGATATCTGTGAGGATAATCCAGAAAGCACAGCGATGGAAACAAAGGGGTCAGTGGATCAGAACGGAGAGCCCAGGAATGAATCTGTGAAGCCGTGGCTTCTGGTGGAGGCGGCAGCGTGTGCAGGTCAGTGGGGAGAGAGTGGCGCCAGTGTGACTTGTTCGGGTAGGAAAGGATGAGATCGAATCTGTATTTTATGCCATATGCAAAAATCAATTGCTTAATGGAGCAAATATGTGACCACGCAAGGCAAACTGTAAATCTGTTAGATTTGCGAAAGAGGAAGACGGTTGAGGTGTCGGGAAGGCTTTCCTGAATGTCAGGAAAAGCACAAATTAGAAGGGAAAATACTGATAGGTTGCACCCTGTTCAATTTAAGAACGTCTCTGCTCATCCAAAGCTACTTAAGGAGAGTGAAAAGAAAAGCCGCAAATTGGGAGGTAATTTCTTTGCTTTTGTAACCTAAGTAAAACAGTATTCACAGTGTGGTAAGAAACTCTCAAATCAAGAAGAGAAAGATAAACACCCACAGGAAGGCAGAGAAAGCCTGGGATGGGCACACGATAGGGGAGGAATCACGGAAGACCCGTAAGCAAATGACAAGAGGCACAGCCTCATTAAGGAACAACGAAATGCAAGTCAAAACAGCCAGGATGGGGCGCCTGGGTGGCTCAGTCGTTAGACGTCTGCCTTCGGCTCGGGTCACGATCCCAGGGTCCCGGGATCGAGCCCCGCATCGAGCTCCCTGCTCAGCAGGAAGCCTGCTTCTCCCTCTCCCACTCTGCCTACTTGTGTTCCCTCTCTCGCTGTGTCTCTCTGTCAAATAAATAATCTTAAAAAAAACAACAACAACAACAGCCAGGTGACCTTGCACGCCCACCAGATTGGCACGCGTGGAAAAGTGAGCAGGAAGCATTAGTGAGGTGAGGGGGCAGTTGCTGGAGCCGGACTTGCGTGCACGCAGCATACGTAAGCACAACCGCGCGGAGACCACCCTGGAGTCACTCGGCGGACGGGGCAGGGACCCCCGACCCGAGGTCCTCACGGGTACGAGCGCACCCGGACAGGAGAAGAAAGAGCAGCACCACAAAGGCAGAGCCAAGCCAGTGCCTTCGGCAGACTGATCAGCTGTGGTTCCTCCCCAGCTGGAGTGGAAGGTTCTAGGGCGGTTAAAGGGAACAGGTTTCAGCTGCACATCAACGCAGGTGAACTCTCCCAAATATGGAGTGAACAAAGCCGGTCACAAAGAACGTGTACAGTGTTTCCGTTTGTATACAGTGAAGAAAGTAGGCACAGCTGATCGATAGGGTGTCTAAAGGTACCTCTACAGGGTAGGACCCGAGGAAAGATCAAGGGAAGGGCGAACACAAAAGTCACGAAGATCAGGGTGCCGGGTGCCATGGAGGGGGAGGCACTTTTGCTCCCGGAAAGGCAGCCGTGGCTTTTAAACATCGGCTGTGACCGTCCTCAAAGAAAGGCAAGGCATGGTTCGCTTGTGTACACACTTAGCCCGAGTAACGCCCGTGTCTATACGTGACAGATGAAAGGTCCACACAACGGGAGCGAAAGCTGGGGTGCCTTCCGTTAGGTGCGCTCAGCTGTTCTCTCTTTTACCCTTCTAAAAAGCCAGTTGTGACCCCCTAAATTGATTTGTCACTCACTGTTTGAAAACATGGGCATTTGTCGATGATTCCTCTTCAGTTGTCCTCCTCTGTTCTGTTCGCCCTCTGTCAAAAGCAGAAACCACTCAAAGCAGGTGGGGACAGGGTGCGTCCGGGGCCTGCGCCCGAGCAGCGGATGCCTGGGCAGGGCTCGCTCTGCGGAGGAGGCCGGAGGACTCTGGGGAGGCGGGCTTGAAGAGGCCACGTGTGGCAGGCACTTGGGAAAGTTCTCGGCTGTGTGCCGTCTGGTACCCTCCCAGCAGGCCCTGCGCACCCCCCAGGGTGGGAACCCCAAAGGCTGTAGGCCCCGGCGTTCAGCTCAGTCCAGCTTCGCTGGTCTGGGACAGCACCCTTAGGGTGGCGGCCTGTCCTGACACGGGGCACACCCGGGTGTGGCTCACGTGGCCCAGTGCCCTTTCCTTTCTCACCCCAGCTTTCCAGAACTTTCTGAGGACGTAGCTGAGCCTACCCTGCCTTCCTATAGGTGCCAAGCCAGCTGCTTCCGTGGACCCATGGGGCGTGCCCACTGGCACTAGCACACACTCCGGGCCCAAGGGCTCAGACCCCTGGGTGGCCCCGCAGCAGCCTGCCCCCAGTGCTGGGAAAACAGCGGATGCTTGGGCCGCAGCCTCAGCCGCCAAGCCCGTCTCGTCCTCTGGTGAGACATCGCTCTGCCCAGGCCCCGAGAGCCCCTTTGGCTGCACTGCTGTCCCCTCTCCTGGCTCCTCGGCATGGGACCTGTGGGTTTGCCTGCACTTGCCACCCTTGTCACCTGCAGCCTTTGTCCCCAGTCGTCCCATCCCCCCCTCCGTGCCACAAGCCCACCGTGCATGGTGAGATCACAGGCCTTCTGGGCCCCTGCACCTCCGTCCAGAGGGAGCTTCCCAAGGGGGCCTGGGCAGGCTACGCTCTAGGCACTCCTTCCAGTAGCTTCCTACAGGCGCTATCCAGGTCTCTAAACCCGGCTCAGAAGTACCCCCCTCCCCACCCTGCATTAGCCCCTCCTTCAGTTTGGGGTGGGGCTGGTGGCAGGCTAATGCCCCCACGCGAGGTTCCAGGAGGCCAGGATCCTTGACCCGGCCCCGTGCTAGACCATCGGGTGACCCCGAGCTGCCGTCTGGCTCTCAGTTCTCCCCCAGGAGCAGGGGTGGAGATCTGTCCCCTGCCTTCGGCCAGCACCCCCCAAGGTTGTAGACCGGGAAGCAGAATTGGGGAAGTCGTGATGCACCCGCAGTCACCAGCCTCTTGTGTTCACCCAGGGGCCTTTGATCTCTTCAGTAATTTGAATGGTACAATTAAAGATGACTTTTCTGAATTTGACAACCTCCGGACTTCAAAAAAAACAGGTATGTGAAGGTGGTCGTGGTTTCCATAGCGTTCTGTGCATTTGACCAGTCCAGTTATGGCAGAAATAATCAGCTTTCAAAGCCTCTCAACTTCATGCGTTTTCTTTGTGTTTTGATCTTGGGAGCCTGTAAGTGGCTAGTTGCAGGAATTCACACATCAGCAGTGAAAAGTCATGGGGTTGAGATTTTCTTTCGCCCTCTCCTGGTATTGGGCGCATGCTTCCTGTCTCGTTCACCTCTGTGTCTTGGCCCTGCCCCCAGGCCCCTCGTGGTTGCCGGCACAAGCCCCCTGCCCTGGCCTCCCCAGCCCAGCCGCCCCATCTGAACCACTGCCTCCATATGCCTTCCTCCTCCCAACTTCCCACTCCCCACGGTGCCCCTTTTCCAGACAGTCCCAGCTCTGGGCCTGGACAGGGCGTCTCTGCCCCCACTTGATCACCCCAGGCTGTGGCTCCCTCCCAGCTCCTGTCAGAGCCCCGGCCCAGTGCCCCCAAGATGGCAGGGCTTCAGGGTGGGGTACAGAGAGACCGGGCCGGGGCGGGGGTGGGGGTGGAGGCCAGAGGCTGGGGACGGAGCCAGGCTGCCACACCCCCCAGCCACATAGAGCAGCTTCTCTCCTTTCTCTTTCCTCTCTCTGCTTCTCCCTGTGCCCGCCCCCCATCTCCATCTGCCCCCCACCCCCTCCTTCTCACCTCCTCCCACCACTTCCCCCAGCAGCAGCCACAGGCCCGGCTGGCCCCCCGTCTAAGGTACGAGCAGCCTGGCACACCTGACCACCCTTCGGCCCCCTCTCAGCTCAGGGGACCAGAGGCAACTTAGAACGCGCTGCTTCTTGGGGTCTTTCTCTGCGTTAAAGAAACAAAATTCCGTGCGTTTCCCCTGCAGGCCAAAGTGCCACCTAACAGTCCCTGCCCACCCGTGTGCGCCTCAGCGAGAAGGCGGTGTGGCCTTGTTAACAGTCCTTCTGTACACTTACAAATTATTTACCCCCAATTCTAGAGCTGTTTCCATTGTAGAAAATTTGGAAAAGTTTATGGAAGAAAACGGAACTCCTCTGTAATCCTCCCTACTCCAGCCGCTATGTTTCTTTCCAGCATTTTTTCTGAGCTCTGTTTACAGGGGGTTTTTTTGTTCAGCTCATGCTGTCAGAAAGCATCGAATCCTGCACCCTGCCACCCCCCACCCCCGGTAGAATAACGGATTGAAAGCATTTTCTCGTGATGTTAAAAATTCTTTAGAAAATATCCATACCTATGGAATACCTTGTATCGCTCAGCAATCACGGGTTTGAACTTTGCTCTTGGGGAGCGTGCTTTCGGTGGATTGCAGGTTTTGCCGAAGTAAATAACGCTGTGGTGAACATCCTTGTGCTTGAGTCCCCGTTGCCATCTCGCATTATTTCCTGAGACTGGATTCCTAGAAATGGGATTACCGAGTGGAGAGTATGACCATTTTTAAGAACCTTTAACCCCCCTGCCACGCTGGCTGAATTTTTAAAAACAATTTTTCTTCTCTATCAAGAAATTCATGTTCATTGTAGAAAATTGACAGTGAAAACACACGAGAAACATGCAGTGCCCACGGCTAGCCCGCGGCCCCCAATATCATCTTAATGTTTCTGGAGGATCGTGCCGTACGCTTTGTTTTCCAGCTTCTTCTCCGTGACGTGACACGGTCCTCTTGCCGGGAGGCCTCCTGTCCCCGCGCTCTGGGTTTGGTTACGCGACCGGGGGTTCTGTAAGCTGCCCCGTGGCTGACTGTCCCTGGCTGGGTCTGTTGGAGGCACCACTGCAGCGAACATCCCTGTCTTCTGCGTGGCCACGCAGGTGTCCCCCGGAATGTCTGTGTCTCGCTCGGGTCGCGCCCCCCCCCCCCTCACCGGGCCCCTGTGTGTCCTTGTCTTGTAGCTGAGGCCGTGGCCTCGCCACCGTCCCAAAACAACGGAACTACAAGCCCCGACCCCTTTGAGTGCCAGCCCCTGACTGCCGCCTCAAGCAAGCCCAGCAGCGCCCGGAAAACACCCGAGTCCTTCCTGGGCCCCAACGCGGCCCTGGTCAACCTGGACTCGCTGGTGACCAGGCCAGCCCCGCCGGCCCAGTCTCTCAACCCTTTCTTGGCACCAGGTATGCTCCCTGTGCTTGTCTGCCCTTGCTGACTGGCCTTGGGGCTGGCCTCAGGCCCTGACCTCTCCTCCGGCCTCTTGGGGCTCTTCCTGCCTTACACAGGAGGCATGCCCGGAATGCCTGGGCCTCTCCAGGGCCTGGGGTGGGGGGGCGCGAAAGCTGGCGTGTGGCTGGGGGGATGGGTGGAAAACAGCTCCTCCTCTCAGCTCTCAGCGGAGACCACTGAACAGAAGCTGCCCCGGCCCCGGTGCCCTTGGCCGGGGAGACCCTCCAGCAGGCACCACTTCTCGGTCAGCTGGGGAAGGGCAGTGGCGGGGTGAGGAAGAGCCGGGGTTTGCTGCCCAACATGTCCCTTTGGGGGGGGCCATTTTCCAGGGGCCCACAGAGCCTCACTTTAGCCATTCGAGATGCCAGATCCTGTCTTTCCAGGGCTGGGAACTCGCGCTCCCATCCCCCGTATCCATTCTCCCTGATGCCAGGCTCTGTCTAAAGGCCTGTTCTTCACCCTCAAAGGCTCTGTGTGGGCTGCAGGATAAGCCCCCCAGCCCTTGCTTTAGAGTCCGGGGCCTCTGGGGCCGTGTGCTTAGACCCTCGGGGGCGCTGAGCTCCTCACCCCTGCACGCTGTGCTCCCCCTGCCCGGAGTGCCCTCTCTCCTCTTTTCCAGTGGGAGATCGGTCATCCTCAGCACCCAGCCCAGACAACTCTCTCCCCCTGGGGAGTGTCCCCCTCCCAGATTGTCCAGCAAGGCCTTGGGCTCCCCAAGGGCCGGGGTGTGTCACATTCAGGGCGTTCAGACTGAGACCCTCCCTAAGACAACAGAATCTGCAGCCCAGGGCCATAGCCTCTCAGAGGACCCTGCAGAGAAGGACCCCAGGACGTAGAAGAGCTGAGGGTGGGGTCCTTAGGGCAGAAGTGGGATATGGAGTGCTTGGGTCCTGCCCACCCCCATGGTCCTGAGATGGGCGAGGACAGGGTTGCTCCTCGCTCCCTGGGTGGAGCTGGATCCGAACCCAGTGTCTCAGCCAGGCTGGCTTTCCTGTCCAGCACCCCGCCAGCCCGCCCCGGTTGGGGGGCGGCTCCTGGTACCTCTGAGTTGGCTCAGCTCTGGCAGGGCTGATCTGCAGGGGTACGAGAGGGGCTGGTGCGGGGCTGCCCGGCTGTGCCCTCAGCAGGGCCTTCCTCCTTCCCCCCTGCCCCCCCGCCCCGGGTGGGATGGAGTGCGGGCAACGTCTCCTGGTGGTGACTGGGGGCGCCCCGCAGCAGGCAGCCTTTGTGTGCAAGGGCTGGGCTGCTTTGGAGCCTCTCTGTGCTGCCAGCTTGCGGGTGTTTTGGCCGAGTATCAGCACACGTTTTGGTAAAAGCTCGGGAAAAAGGCTTGATGGTGTGTGATAAATTCTGGAAACGCTAGATAAGACAGAGCTGCATCCGCTTCTTGACTGCAGGGCTTCTCAGAGCCTTTATTACGCCAGCCCTTGGGTCCCGGGGTCCAGGGTGGAGACAGGCAGTCAAGCCTCGTGCTGAGGTCCCCAGCTCCCCCTTTGCGCCCCTCTTTCCCGGACACCTGTGGTCCCGAGCTTGGCAAACCGAATAGGGGAGCGGCACCCGGCGTTTCCTGCTGAGGGAGTCCTGGGGCGCTGGCTGCGAGTAGGCACAGTCCCAGCGCTGCCCGAGTCAGGCTTTGTGACTCCGGACTAGTCACTTGGCCCCGAGCGGCCTTCGTGTCCTCATCCAGAGGCCGGAGCTGCAGCCGGCGGACGCGCGGGGCATGCGGGGCGTGCGGGGCGTGCGTTGGCTGGCGCCCGGGCCCTGCAGAGCAGCTGGCCCTGGGACGCACCCTGTCCCCAAAGGGGCAGACGCCGGAGCACACGTGCTGCTGGTCGCCACTGTCTCCCGCCCTTGGACTTGGGGACGGCTGTTGTTCTGACCCTACCACTGCCCCTCCTCTCCCCCAGGTGCAGCCGCCGTCTCGGCCCCTGTCAACCCCTTCCAGGTGAACCAGCCCCAGCCGCTGACGCTGAACCAGCTGTGGGGGAGCCCCGTCCTGGGGACCAGCACGTCCTTTGGGCCTAGCCCAGGTGTGGAGCCCATGGCTGTGGCCTCCATGACCTCCACGGCCCCACACCCGGCCCTGGGGGCCAGCGGTTCCTCCCTGACGCCACTGGGCCCCGCCTCGATGAACATGGTGGGCAGCGTGGGCATCCCCCCCTCGGCAGCTCAGGCGGCCGGCACAACCAACCCTTTCCTTCTCTAGTGCCCTGGCCTGGGACCCACCACAGAGCGAATGCCCAGGAGCCTCTGTGCCTGAGGACGCCGAGCAGGGACTCTCGATTGTGGACTGGTGTCCAAGAGTGGGGGTGGGGGGTGGGGGGATGTTAGGGCTTCCCGGTCCCGGCTTTCCTGATAAAAGGGTTGCCTTCCCAGCCCCGACCCTCAGACTCCAGCGGCGGCAGGCCTGCTAGACGTCAGACACAGCGCGTGGGTCTCCGCGCCTTCCGAGGCTGCCCGCCCGCCTGTCCCCAGCCCACCGCCCGCTGCCCACGGGAGGGGCCCGACCCGGCCTGGTGGCCTCCCCGCTTCCTCCTGAGCGCAGAGGTCCTGGTCCTGCAGATTGGCCAGCTCTCTGGCGCCTGGGATGAGGCGGGAGTCCTCAGCGTCGCCCTCGCCCTGAGCCTCAGCCTGAGGGCCTCTGGGACGCCGCCCACCCCGACCCCCAGCCCTAGCGACACCCCAGGCGGTCCCAGGTGTGGACAGAATGAAGCACCGACTTCACGAGACGCTGATCTTTTCGGGGAAGTGGTTGTGCATATTTTATTTTTCTTTGACTCGTGTGTGAGTTCAAAGTAACCACCACCACCGTGGAACAACTCTTGAATTAAATCCACTAGAGCAAGCTTTAAACTAATCTGAGCATAACCCTGCCACGTGGCTCTATGCTTATGTACGTTTGCACATGATTTGTTTAGTACAGTTTCATATTTGAGTTTGCAGAATTATCTAATAGTCTTTTTTTGGCTAATATTTTTATAACGTGGTTCTTATTTAACTGTCTAGTTTTGATAGAATTTACCAGGTCTGGCTGAATTAAGATATTGGCACATGTCATGTGAGTGGTTTAAACCCTCTTATTTATGGTTTAACTCTAAGGAAATTTAAATAGGAAGAGACAAAAAAATGCCTTATAAAAAAAAAACTAAAGCAAATTCTTTATAGGGAAAAATACGGGAATTTGATTACATAGAAAAGATGATGTTTATTTAAAAAAAAAAAAACCTGCAACAACAACAAAAACCCAGCCTCCAGTTGCCTCTTCCTTTCTTTTACTCCCTGTTTTGGTGACTTACCAAACGGATTGACCTGCAGCCTTTTGGGCTAGATCCAGAGAGAGGCTATTTTTCTTACTGCTGCACCAACAGCAAGTTAAAGAAAAAAAAAATCTAATGGATGAATGTGACTCACCGGTTTTTATCAGCCAATTCCCTTTTGTAACTGAAGGCATGCACGGATCAACAAGGACTTCCGCTTCCAGTGGAAATCTGAAACGGAAGAGGCATCTTGAAATTTGTGTGTCTGTGATCTCCTCTGTCTTAATCCGCACTCAGGGTAAGGATGGGGATGGCGTGGAGACGGCATCTGGGGGCTCCCCAGGGACGGCCTCCAGGCCAAGACGGGTGAGCGGCCAGGGCTGGCCCTGACCCACCCACCTGCTGACTCCAGACACACACTGCAGACTTCAAAATAATCATCTCTTGTTTTGGAGAGGCAGGAAAAATAGTCATTCTCACATGGATTTTTAACAAACAGGCCCTAATATTACCTCCCTCTCCCAACTTCCTCCTCTCCTCTTGCCCCACCCACCACTAGAAGAAAAGTATGAATTCA